AACGCACATATCAGCTTTGTATTTCTTACTAGTAGAAATACAATTCTTGATATCAACAATTTAATTGTCACTAGTGACAATGTTCTTTTCTGATATCTGAAAATGTATTTCTGATATCAACAATTGATTTTGAATGGCAGCCTATGGTGACATTTAACTAGTGAAAATGTAATTGTTGATATCAAGAACTCATATCCTGAGAATGAATAAAAGTCAAAAGGGCTTGCCATAGCCCTTGGCTTTTTGACGCGATCGACCCGGGTTCGTTCCTGCCTTTTGCCGAACTTTTTTTCCCTCCCTTTTCAAATCTCGTATTAGCAATGGATTCTATTTACACTAAGTGAAAATAGCAGTATTTTTAGCAATATGCTATTTACACTAAGTGCAAGTATACCTTTTGCCGAACTTTTTTTTCCTCCCTTTTCAAATCTCGTATTAGCAATGGATTCTATTTACACTAAGTGAAAATAGCAGTATTTTTAGCAATATGCTATTTACACTAAGTGCAAGTATACTACTTGTTGCAAATAGTGGCAATTATCTGCACTTCAGTATTGTAGTAGGCTACATTATAAAACAGTATGCAATAATAACGTAGGCCTATTGAGTGTAAATTATAATTTTAATTTTAATTATTAAATGGATGCCAACTTATTGGTACAATAAAGCCCTCCCTACACCTACCCTAACCCTACCCGATACTTTATTTTCAACTTTTTGATTATTTCCTTAATTTTTATTGAAAATAAATGCCTTTACAATGTGATACGAGATTTGAAAAGGGAGAAAAAAAAAGTTCGGCAAAAGGCGAGATCGAGCCCGATTATTTTATTCCAGAGTAAGGGCAATTCATACAATACATTTAAACTGAGCTACTTTAATACCATCTCCGAACTTTCTACCACGACTCTGCTGTTCTTCGGCTGGTTCTTCCCTGTATACGTTGATTGACAGATGTCTCGTCCAGTCAGCAGTGAGTAATCCCAAACCAATGGCGCTGTCTCAAACTATACCTACCTCTTCCAGTTTGTGTGATTTCTCGTTGTGTTTTCTGACTTGTTATTTTGTTTTCGAATTTGTCGTTGTGTTTTCTGACTTGTTATAATGTTTTCTGAATTGTTGTTGTGCTTTCTGAATTGTTATTTTGTTTTTTAGACTTGCATTTGCGTTTGTAATTTGTTATTTTGTTTTCAGAATTGTGATCTGCTTTGCACTTCTTGTCCACCTTACTATCACCATTTTTACAACAAAAAAAAGGAATTTCGGGTTAGGGGGATAACTGCAAGGTAAAACCTCTTGTTTACGTTGTCCTTATGCACGTCGTCCTGTTAATCTGTAAGCCAATAGTGTTTAAACTTGTATGTAGAACAGACAGGCCCATTTCTCTGACGTGCAGCTTTCCTGTCTCCCTTCTGGCGCATCCTCGAAAAAGAGGCGGAACAAAAATCGAGAAACAGCTGTTGATTCATTTACGTTCAGAAACCACAGCGTGAGGCACTTTCAACAAGAAGGACACGGTAAAAATAAATTATATCTCTTAGTGTTTTTTGACATAATACTTAAAACATTAAATGATACTTTAGAACTGTACTTTTAAGTTATTTAACCGCTGTTAAAAGAAGTAAATTTCCTGTCAGGTGAATTACTGCAATGACAGTTTTAAGTGAGGTCGCCTTAACTGAGGTAAATTTACATCACTCACAATTACCAGTTGTCACCAAGTTCAACTTTCCTCAGTTAATAAAGTTACAACATTTGGTGAACTTTATTGTTTGAGGAAAGTTAATGTTGAAATTTACTGTCAAATCTCCACAATTAAGACTTGAACGCATAGGTAATGTGTTGCTCATCATCATGTCTGTTATAGTTAAGTATTAAAAATATATCTCAGAAAAGTTAGTGATTTGTTTAAAAAGTCTTTCAGGTATTCAGTGATTGAAGAAAAAAAAAACATTTTCACTTTCTGTTATGTCAAGACACACAATAAGGAAATAAGAACTGGCCGAGAATATGCATGGAATTCAGGACAGAGGTATCAGGTTCTTAATTGCTTTATAACTCACTTTATTAGTTTTTATTACATATTGCTGGAATCTGGAATACCTGATTTTTTTAATCGCCATCCAGTGGTTTGTTATCCCCTGATAACAACTGATAAAAACTGATAACAAATGCTTATCCAGGTAAGTCGGCGCTATATGCTTGCTAGGAACTTTTTTCTTTGTGGAATCTTTGTGTTTGCTGAGCTAATAAAATATTAAACAAGTAATATTTTGTGTGCAAACTTATGTGGCAAGTAGCCATGTAACAAGCAGTATAATGATCACCCAAACAGTTGTTATCACAAAAAAAAAACCTGATCATCCTGTCAAGGTTTATTTTGTGATAACCAGCTGGTTGCCCATTATCCCTTAACTTTAGTGTCCTAAATATTTTTTTCAAATGTAAGTCAGAATGACAAGCATTTTATTTGCCACAACAAAGAAGTAGAATTTTAATATTACAAGAATATTACTGTAAAGATACAGTTGAACAACATTTTACGATGCACACCTGGTTAAGCACACAATAATGGGGTTCTAACAGAGTATTACATGACACACTTGGTATTAATGTCAAAAGCAATACCAAAAGTCCCTTTGGGTCTATGTGTCTTTAGGCTGTGGAAATAACTATGCACCTATACCATTTTTTTCAAAATCCTGAGTATCAGCCGATGCTGATAATGTTCTGATCCCAGTGCGTTTTTTGTTGTTGTTTTTTTATCACTGTAGAATAGGCCCTTTATAACAGTAACAACTGTGAGTATGCGCAGTATTGAATTTGGATTGGTCCTGTCTTACTGATACCCAGTCCAGCAAAAATGGCAGTATCAGAACCTATACTGAATATTGGATCAGTGCACCCCTAGAAATAATGAGTTAGTCAAAAGTAAATTAATAGGTAATTACTATATCCACTAAAGAGATGGATGGTCTCAGTAAAGAAGCTGTCATTGTCACACTGTCACTGTGCACAGTAATGTAGTAATTTTCTAATTTTTAAAGCTCTGAAAGTTGATTTAGATTTAGGTTTTATAGCACATTATACTGATTAAATAAATATCAACCCAATATAATTAATTGTTTGTTTTAACAAACAGGAATTTAACATGGTTGGTCAGGTTTTCTTGTAGTTGGTCAGGTGTTCTTAAAGAGAATATGTTTATGTAAACTGTAAATCCTGTTAGACTGGATGTACACCTTTATAAGCAGGAAGAGTTCAAGTCTCTGGAGTTATGACTTGATACTCATACATCACTAAGATGGTGAAAACAAGCTAAATATACAGTGAGTTGTCTAGAAAACTAGACTTTATGTTATGTACATGTTCTTGCACACTTTTAAAAAATCTAAATTAATATTTTTTTCAGAATAATGAACAGCTTCTAGAATAAAAGAGTGTCTCCAAACCTGATGAGTGAGTCACCTGAGCTGTCTGGTGCTCAGAACTATGGGTAAGAAAACAAAGAAAAATATCTGATTTTTCACATCGCTTAATGAGTCTTGTTCTTATGTTGCAGTGGATTGATTAATCTGAGAACGGTTCTTCTGTATTTATTCTAGATCACAGTCTGACCATTGTGTTTTTTGGAAACTCTGCTGCAGTCCAGTTTCAACATGACAATTTTCTTCTTGGAGAAATACAACCAAATATTGAAAATGTTGCAATATCCAGGACTGTTCTTTTGCAGATTAAGAAATCAGGATATCGCGTCTCAGTGATCAACCTGATTGGCTTACATGAAACTGCACTTGATCTGGATGCTCTCACTGATAAACTAGTGAATGAAAATGACATAATTGCCTTCATCTTTGTTGTGCGACTGGGCCAGTTAACAGATGCTGATAAGATGGGTATTGAGTGGCTTCAGAGTGTATTTGGTGACAGAGTTCTTCAGTTTGTGATGATTCTCTTCACCTATGAGAGCCAGGAAGAGTCTGACTCTATAATAGATGATCTGAAGAAAAACTCTGCTCTAGAGCGGCTGATTGAGAAATGTGGTGGAAGATATCATACCTGCAGCAAGAGCATGAGCAACCAGTCAGAGATGACAGACCTGGTGAACAGGATTGAGCATCTGTTTACTGATAATAAACAGCAGTGCTACAATAGTGAGATGTACAACACAGCGTTGAGACAGAGAGAAGATGTGCAAAACAGGACATTTAAAAGTGGTAAGAACACATACAGTATTTGGTTTAATTGATGTTATGTTGGTTCTCTGACATGTTTATTTGCCCTGACCCTAACACTTCCACCAATTGTATTTGTAACAGATATTAAGTTAAGCCAAAATTCAGAATCCAAATTCAGCTTTTAATGAGAAAACCCTCTACAATGCAAGTAAATCACTTGCATATGCGACTAAGTTTTCATGCTAGGCAACTAAATAATGTATATCATTAGCCATTGGCTAATAATTGGTTAGATTATACCCGTCTTCAACAAAAAAGGGATTTTATGTTATTGTTTGTTTCTGTCGGTTTAATTTTTATTTTTTGAAATATAATATTTAATAATATTTCTCTCTCCTTTTCTGTTCTGTCACAAGACCAACCCACAATTATTGGAAAGACTATGGACTGTACCTTGATGACAGAGACATGGCAGACACATAGGGTAAGTGATGAGTGTAGAGTAAAAATAGAACATAAAAAGTAAGTTAGAAAGAATTCCATGAATGTAGACTTTCAGCTTATAAAAATATTTTTTCCTTATCATATAGTTTCACTTGACATTTTTATTTAGTCACTGGTAAATGTTCTTCAGAGAGTCTTCTTGGTTATTTTTGTCACATTAGCTCAACCACCCTTTTAAAGGGCTCTTTTGTAAATTATGTCTTTGTAAAAAAAAAAAAAGCAAATATCTTTTGCAAATTATGTTTTAAGCTAACTGCTTTTAATTATGTTGGATATTTCACAGAGAAACTTAGAGAAGTGTTCATTCGATGGGTCACGATTAGATCATAACAGAAACGGAAGGAGGAAAGAAGTAGAGCATCTATTTCACAGACTTCATCTTGATAACATACACCCCTCTAAACTAAGAGCTGCAGATGTTCTTCAACTAACAACACATTCATTACAGTCCCATGAGTCTTGTGCTGATGAGAACCTCATACAGACTTTCCTACAAAAAATACTGATGATGAACTACAGAGCAAGGTACATTAAAACAATACATGCGCAGCATGACAGACATCAAAGAAACAATGACTTTTTAGAATATGAGAGTGATGGTGATATTTTCCAAGATGCATCTTCAATTCCTGAAGAAGCAAAAAGGAGAGATGCTATTCACCCGATGGATGTTCAGATGGCTGTGTTTCATTGTGCTGATAGTTTCCTAAAACAGCTGATGGTGACTAAACTGTCTCAGTGTCAGTACGCTCTGCCTCTGCTTGTTCCTGATCCATTCACACAAGAGATTGAGTTTCCTCTCTGGACATTCAGACAAATCAACAAGAGCTGGAAGATGAAAGAGCCCAACAATGAAATCATCAGTATAATCCAGCCTGTCTGGAAGGCAGAAACACCTATGGTGTTTTTCTTTAGGTTTGGCTCGGTGTCCTCATCCAAATCTCAGCTGATGAACAATCTAATAAACGACAAACACAACACGTTCTTCCACAGGCATTGCCCAGGCAGCAGCAAAACCAGACTACTAGTGGATGGAGTGGTGGAGATCGCCTGGTATTGCCCCTCTAGGAAAGACAGAGATAAATTTACTCAGTGTATTGCTTTCTGTAACCTTCATGGTGATGCAGAAAACAGTGCGAAACAGCTGCAGATCCTCACTGAAATGGCCTCAGTCAATGTTGTTGTTCTACCACAACTTGATCAGAATGACAAGAACGCAAAGAAAATTCAAAACCTGTACAAGGGCAGAAAGCCACTTATATGTCTTCTTACTGAGGATGAATCTATAGTAACTGAAATAAGAAAAGGAAAATACAAAATTGGATTAAAAGAGAGAAATCAGTCAGATGTATCTGAAGAACTCGAACAGGTTATAAATGGATGTCTCTTGTTCTCATCGCCAGAATCAACTTCTGTTTTCAGTCTAGAAGATGTGTCCAAACACACAGGTATCAGAGTAGATGAGAAACATGATCATGACTGCAGAAGAGGAAAAGAATCAGCCCAGAAGATAATGAGTTTAGCAAAAGATAAAGATCTGACAGAAATCAAAGAATCATTTCTGCCCTGTCAGGGGAAACTGTGGCATCAGTGGTGTGAAAAGAACAAAGAATTACATAGATCTCAAGGAAATGAAACAGACATGGAAAAACAGAAACAAAACATGAAGAAAATCCGTGAAGAGCAGCATGTGTTGGACATTGGTGACTTCATGAAGTTGTTTATTACAGAAATGGATTCACAATCTCCAAATGAGAAGATATTTTTTCTTAAATGGCTCGCAATCCTCCTGGATGAATACACCTCAGCTGACCTTTCTGCTCTACATTACAAGTACAATGAAAAATGGTCAAAAGTCAGAGCTGTGCAACAGACGACCAATGAACATGCAGAACTTGAAAGGATATCAAGAAAACTTCAAGCAGCAACCTTTGGCTTGGAGCACATCCTGAGGGAGATCGGTCAGATCTATGAATCGTGTAAATCAGTGAATAAGAACAAAGAAGGTCTGCCATGTAATTTTTCTTCTCTCCCGAGTCTTGCAGCAGAGATGATGATCTCTGGATTTCCACTGGAGCTGATGGATGGAGATGCTGCTCATGTTCCTGTGGTCTGGGTTACTGCTGTTCTACATGAACTCATCAAGAAACTGGGAGACAAGAGAGTCTTTGTGTTGTCAGTTTTAGGGATCCAGAGCTCTGGGAAATCCACTATGCTGAACGCCATGTTTGGACTCCAGTTTGCTGTCAGTGCTGGCAGATGCACCAGAGGAGCTTTCATGCAGCTGGTCAGAGTCTCAGAGGAGATGAAGATAAAAGAACAGCTAAAGTTTGACTTCATTCTGGTTGTTGATACTGAGGGGCTTCGTGCTCTAGAACTGTCTGGAAGGTTAACAAGACATCAGGACAATGAAATGGCCACATTTGTTGTTGGTCTTGGTAATTTAACATTAATCAACATTCTTGGAGAAAGCCCATCAGAGCTGCAGGAAATTCTTCAGATAGTTGTTCAGGCCTTCATGAGGATGAAGAAGGTCAGACTGAATCCCAGCTGCATGTTTGTTCATCAGAATGTTTCAGAAGTCACAGCTGGAGAGAAAAACATGGAGGGAAGGAGACGACTGCAGGAGACACTGGATGAAATGACAAAACTTGCTGCTAAAGATGAAGTTTTTGATGCAGAATGTTTCAATGACATCATTACTTTTGATGTTCGGAAAGATGTGAAATATTTTGCACAGCTGTGGGAGGGAAGTCCACCAATGGCACCACCAAACCCATCATACTGTGAAAACATCCAAGAGCTAAAGACAACTTTTTTTAGCCATGCCTCAAATTCAGATGGCTTAGAGCTGACACACCTAAAAGGCCGTATTAATGATCTCTGGGAGGCTTTACTGAATGAACGATTTGTGTTCAGCTTCAGAAATTCTCTGGAAATTGCGACATATCGAAAATTGGAGACAGAATACAGCAAGTGGTCCTGGAGTCTCCGCAGAACCATGCTGGATATAGAGAACAAACTCTACATCAGCATAGAAAATGAAAGAATTCATGAGGTTTCAGAAAGTGATCTTCAAGAAAAACTAGGAGTGAAAAGTGAAGAAGTAGAAGAATCAATGTCAGAATTTTTTGAGAAAGACAAAGATAAAGGTATACTTATACAGTGGAAAGCATCATTTTGTATAAAAATCAGTGGTCTTCAGGAAAACATTGTGAGAGAAACAACTAGGAAATTAAATGAGATTTTACAGCAGCGAGATATGAAGAAAAGGATTGATGCTCAGAAGACACGTTATGAAAATACTCTCTTGGAAAAGAGCAAAGAACTTGCAGTAAAACTCAAAGACAAAGCAAATGATGAAGCAATCCTGAAAAAAGAGTTTGATTCCTTTTGGAAAGAGTGTGTTAATAAGATTACTGCAGAAACTCCTCCAATCAAAAACATTGATGTATTAAATGACATGAAACAACTTCTTTGTCATTATGAAAGTGTCAGTCTAAATGACTTGAAAAAGAGCAAGGATATTTTTTCTTTGCCACGGTATTCAGATTATGTACAGATAAAGAAACCCAAAGGAATTTCAGAACATGCTAAAAATGCCTTCAGATCAGCTAAACAGACATTTAGTTACATTGAGGCTGAAACCCAAATTAAAGCCTTAGTCAATGACATTGCTCAACATGCAGACAAAACGATCATGTCGTATAACATTGCAAAGATGGGCTACAACAAAACCTACATTCAGGAACTCGCAGATTATATCAAAGACAGAGTAGTAAATTATGAGCAAGGTTTGAGGAACTATGTGTTTAAGAAGCAATTTTACATGGATTTGGTCATTTCTATCTGTAAGAGAGAAAACAAGGTAATTACTGACCAACACAGAAGATTCAGGGAAGCCAATGATCCTGTTTTCTATTTTGAACAGAAGAGCGAAGAGTACTATAGTATTTTTCAGAAATACTGTCAAGGTGCAACATCAGCTGCCATTTTTGGTGAGATCATCTGTCAGAAACTGAAAGAGCCCATTCAAAAGAGTGTCTACAAAGATACTGCCAGAGATATGACTAATGAAATTCAAATAAACTGTGAATCACTAAATGGAAACAGATCTAAACTAGAGAAGCACATTCTCAAGAGGTTGGCAGAACAGGAGGAATTTGAAAAGTACATTACATACTTTAATTATCCCAGAGACCACTTAAAGAGTTTTGTCAGAGATGAAGTCAGTCAGTTCATCACTGATAAGTTTGAAGTGAGTGTTCGCCCCAAGATGAAGGAGAACATTGAACTCCTGCAACAGAAGATCATGGAAGCAGCTCAAAGAGCGACTACACTCGTCAACACGACCAGTGGAGATGTTCAGAAGTGGTTGGATAATTTCACACTGCAGCTCTCAGATGTGCTGATATTCTCTGTAAAGGACCTCAGTGGAGTGAGTCATGAAGGTGTGGATGATTTCAACCTCCTAGAAGATGTGATAAGCAAATTACTTGGTTTAGTATCATCTGAAATACAACATAAATTCAGCACAGAGACATTTCCAGTCAATCTGGAAGAGAAGGACAGACCAGATGAGATTCTGATTGATCATCTCTGTCAGTGCTGCTGGGTTCAGTGTCCGTTCTGTGCAGCCACCTGCACCAACACTGTAGAAAACCATACTGGTGATCACAGTGTTCCTTTCCATCGAGTGGATGGACTCACTGGAAGCTGTTATGATGAAACAGAGTGTCTCAGTGCAGATTTTTGCACAACTTTAGTGAGAACTAGTCAAATGTTCTATACAGGCCAGTGGTTTCTGTGCAGAAAGTACAGAAATGCAGGAAATGTTTATGCAGAGTGGAACATCACTCCCGACTTCTCAGAGCTGCCGTACTGGAAGTGGTTTGTGTACAGATTTCAGGAAGATCTGGAAAAACACTTTGAGAAAAAATTCCACATGTGGGATGAGATTTCATATGAATGGAGCCAATACTCAAAAGAGCAAGCTATTGAGAGTTTGGATGAATACATCTAATGACAAATTAAAATGACTCACGTGTAGGTCTTTGATTCATAGACCAAACTTTGAAACGAGTTTGTGAAGTTGAGGGTTTTTTGAGTTGTGAATCTTCAGGATTCTTTTTCTATCTATAAATTACATATATGAATGTTATATGTAAGTTACGTATATTGAAATGTTTGCTCTCTACCCCATTACTTCAAAGTTTTCCAAACCTAATTTATTATCGTTCTTCAAAACTGTGTGAAAACCGATGTGATGTGTGCTGAAACTCTTTCATGACACTTTAAGACTAATCATTAATCTGCAGTTCTGTTAGCTACTAATGACCAGGGGTGTGGACTCGAGTCACTTGACTCGAGACTTGACTCGGACTCCAGTCCCAAATTTGATGACTCGACATAATTAAAGAAGACTTGAGACTCGACTTAGACTTTGACAGCAATGACTCAAGACTTGACTTGGACTTGAGCCCTGTACTCGGAAAGACTTTATGATCAGATCAAAGTCGTTATAGACGCGTTCCTGCAGCGTGCTTGCGCTTGACTGGCAATAAGCCAGAGACTGCGTTCAGGGAGCGCTGGATAGGCTAGTATAAATTATTGGAGTAATAGTATAACTTACGCCAAAAGAACAGAGATAAAAATTTAAAAAAAATAACAAATTACATGATTCGTCTAGTAGCGATCTCCGCTCGTGAAATGCGCTGCCCTGTCCGTTTGATCACCGCCCAGCAGACACACGGAGCGGGCATGAGAAACGAGAGGCGGGGCCGCGATCACTTCACTGGTGCTCGCCTCATCATCACTGTGACCGCTGCT